CTCTTCCAACTCTATGATTCTATGATATCCTCATTCCATCCACATTGTGTTATTTTGTCAAATGACAAGAAATGGAATAAAGGTATCTGTAAATTTGTTTGAACAAACATGCAAGTATCGCATATTTTCCTTGAAAAATAAGAAAATAATCAGCTGCCTGTACAGAAATTAATAAAAGGAACTCAACAATCTGCCTTTGCTGGGCATACAGACGCCTTTCATACAATGTTTTTGTATCTCCTCTAGGATTCTGAACATTTTGGGGGCTGCTTGTGTGTAGTTGTGATTTCATTTGTGTCAGAAGAACAGGGTGGGCAGCAAACACTGTGTTGGAAAGCAGATAACACCATATGTGTCAGTGCTGAGGAAAATATTACAGGCACTCTTGTGTACTTAGGACTCCCTCCATTCTAATAGCAAAGATCATCGTCTGGAGCCTTCCACCTTCTTTGTCTGAGCAAGTCAAACTGTTCCCATTTTCTGTATTTTAGTTTCTTTAATGTGTTAGAAATTATAAAGACACAACCACAACTAAAAGGTACAGGGAGTTCTCCCCCCTCCTGCACAATATCCACATCTACAATTGCCAGGATCATATGTGCTAGTATTGTTGTGTGCCTCCAACGCATTGCCAACTTACAGCGACCCAAAGGCAAGCCACTCACAGAATTTTCTTGCCAAGGTTTGTTCAGAGCTAGTTTGCCTCTGCATTCCTCTGAGGTTGAGAGAGAATGACTTGCCCGAGGTTAACCAATGGGTTTCCATGGCTGAATGGCCTCAGAACAAAGTGATGTAGTTATTTGAATGTTGGACATGCAGACAGTCACACTACTCAATTGATTCCAAACCCAAAATATCTGAAAAATGAGATATAAGTTGCAACACATTGTTGGTTAGGAGTAGGATATTATGTACACATCAAAACTTTTGTATTCAGACAGGCTTTGAAACATGAAGGTGTTTAAGATCTAGTAAGGGGCGCTGTTTTGCTATTGCTAACCGCTCAGAGTCGCCTAAGGGCTAAGAAGAGCCGTATATATAGTAAATAAATAAATAAACAAATAAATTTGTATTTACATGTAAATGTATCTTAATTTTACTTTTATGCAGATGTAATGTATCTTGTGTTTCCCCCCCTTTTTCTTCTTCATTGTGTGATCCCCTTCTTTGGATCTGTAATTGGTTAAATGGACGAACCCAGTGGGTGCTCACCAAAGCTTCCTCTTCATCCTGGAAAGAAGTGACGAGCGGAGTGCCGCAGGGTTCCATCCTGTGCCCAGTCCTGTTCAACATCTTTATTACTGACTTAGATGAAGGGTTAGAAGGCATGATCATCAAGTTTGCAGACAGACACCAAATTGGGAGGGATAGCCAATACTCCAGAGGACAGGAGCAGGATTCAAAACGATCTTGACAGATTAGAGAGATGGGCCAAAACTAACAAAATGAAGTTCAACAGTGACAAATGCAAGATACTCCACTTAGACAGAAAAAACGAAATGCAAAGATACAGAATGGGGGACGCCTGGCTCGAGAGCAGTACGTGAAAAAGATCTTGGAGTCTTCGTGGACAACAAGTTAAACATGAGCCAACAATGTGATGTGGCGGCAAAAAAAGCCAATGGGATTTTGGCCTGCATCAATAGGAGGATAGTGTCTAGATCTAAGGAAGTAATGCTACCCCTCTATTCTGCTTTGGTTAGACCACACCTGGAATATTGTGTCCAATTCTGGGCACCACAATTCAAGAGAGATATTGACAAGCTGGAATGTGTCCAGAGGAGGGCGACTAAAATGATCAAGGGTCTGGAGAACAAGCCCTATGAGGAGCGGCTTAAGGAGCTGGGCATGTTTAGCCTGACGAAGAGAAGGATGAGAGGAGATATGAAGCCATGTATAAATATGTGAGAGGAAGCCACAGGGAGGAGGGAGCAAGCTTGTTTTCTGCTTCCCTGGAGACTAGGACGCGAAACAATGGCTTCAAACTACAAGAGAGGAGATTCCATTTGAACACGAGGAAGAACTTCCTGACTGTGAGAGCCGTTCAGCAGTGGTGGATGCTCCTTTTTTGGAAGCTTTTAAACAGGGGCTGGATGGCCATCTGTCAGGGGTGCTTTGAATGCAATATTCCTGCTTCTTGGCAGGGGGTTGGACTGGATGGCCCATGAGGTCTGTTCCAACTCTTTGGTTCTATGATTCCTTCTTTTTTATTTTTTTTTCACATTTCCTTTATTTCCTTTCTTCTTTTTTCTGTTTGACTCTATGTTCTAAAGATAATTAAATTTACATATTTATAAAAGAAAAAAAAATAAGAAAATAAGAAAATAAGATTACATTCCTGGGGTGTCCACCAGGGCCGTAGCCAGAAAATTTTTCGGGAGGGGTTGAAATTTTCGGGGGGGGGGGGGTGTTGAAATTTTCACGGGGGGGGGGGGGGGGGGGGGGGGTGTTTGAAACCTGCCTCCTAGCTCACACTGAAGCCAAGAGCACATCAGGGCGCAGAGCAGCCTTCCATAGCCTGCAGCTCTGCCCCTGTCAACCACCTCCACCAAGTCTGGCCTCCTTATGAAAGCATTCAACACACACACACCCAACTTCAGGCCTGTAGCGAGGGGTTTTTTAGGGGTTCAACCCCCCCCCGAAATGTTTCAGATTTTTTTTAAAAAACCCAGTTTACTCATGAATTTTAACTGGTTAACCAAATCCCCATGCTAAGTCTATGAGATGCAAAAAATTAAGAGTCCCTCCAGAACTGCAAACACTATCTCAAGCAAATATTTATTTATTTATTTATTTATTTATTTATTTGCTATTCGAACTTATATGCTGCCACTCCCCTGAGCATTTAACACCCCCCCCCCAACTTGGTTGCTTCGCTACATCAGCTATTGCTGCAAGTAATGACAATGTGAATAAATTGTCAATATTTGCCTGAGATAGTTCTTGCAGTTCTGAAGGGACTCTTAATTTTTTGCATCTCATAGACTTAGCATGGGGATTTGGTTAACCAGTTAAAATTCATGAGTAAACTGGGTTTTTTTAAAAAATTCTGAAACATTTCGGGGGGGGGGGGTTGAACCCCTACCCCCCCCCCTCGCTACAGGCCTGGTGTCCACCAGTCGACAAGAGACTTGAAAGTACCCAGTGGGCAAGGAAGAGGTGGCCAAGGTGAGCCTGGGGTGCTCTCCCGCCATGAGGATGATCACCTATCTGGGCGGCTGGCTGGTCCCTCCTTCCTTCCTTTCCTGCCTGCTTGTGGTCACCAAAGGAGAGTCCTCCTCTTGGGCATGGGAGCTGGCACTGCCAGGGAGTGAGTGACTCACGCCAGCTTCTCCAATTTATTACGGCAAAGAGGAGGAGGAGAAGGAGGAGGAACTTACTTACAGCAAACTCCTGCCTTGGCTGGGAGGGATGGCGAAAAAACACGCGCGTGGGTTGCGGACGCGCGTGTGATGGTCGCGGATCCTTCCAAGGCTGTGGGGCTTTGGAAAGACACTAAGGAGGCATCAGCCACGACTTGTCTCCAGAGCCAGAGTGCCTTTGGAGGGGGAAAAAAGCCAGGAAAAGGCGAAAGAAGAGAAGCTGAGGAGGCATCCTGATGCGCCTCCTCGACTGCGCACTCCAAAGCTCTCCGGTAAGTCCTTGCTGTGGAAATGTCTGTGAATGAACTGGCCACTCCAACGGCGTGGAAAAGACCCCTCGGAGGTCGTGAGGAGTGGAGATCCATGTTGGAATCAAAAAGTACATGGATTGATTTTTTATATATATATAAAAGCGCAAAGGGACCTTTCCTCTGCTTTTGGAACTCTGCTCTCTCTGGAGAGTTGCTGGAAAGGAATCCTAGAAGAAGTTTGTTTCTTGATTGACTGGTCTACAAGGGGTTGGACTAGATGACCCTTGGGGTCCTCTCCAACTCTACCATTCTTGGGACTTCTGGGCGGGAGTGTGATTTCTTTTCCTCTAACCACTTCATCACACTAGAGAATGAATCCACTTTAAATCCGGTTTCTGCCTCCTGCAGAATTCTGGGGTTTGTAGTTTAGGGAGGAGCCTTTAACAGCCTCACTAAACTACAAACCCCAGAATTCTGCAGGAGGCAGAAACCAGATTTAAAGTGGATTCATTCTCTAGTGTGATGAAGTAGTAAGACAGTGGTTCTCAACCTTTCTAATGTGGTGGCGGCTCCTTCTTTGGAAGCTTTTAAACAGAGGCTGGATGGCCATCTGTCAGGGGTGATTTGAATGCAATATTCCTGCTTCTTGGCAGAATGGGGTTGGACTGGATGGCCCATGAGGTCTCTTCCAACTCTTTGATTCTATGATTCTCTATGATTCTATAATACAGCTCCTCATGTTGTGGTGACCCCCAACCATAAATTATTTTCGTTGCTACTTCATAACTGTAATTTTGTTATTGTTATGAATCGTAATATAAATATCTGATATGCAGGATGTATTTTCTTTCACTGGACCAAATTTGGCATAAATGCCCTATATGCCCAAATCTGAATACTGGTGGGGTTGGGGGAATTGATTTGTCATTTGGGAGTTGTAGTTGCTGGGATTTATAGTTAACCTACAATCAAATAAACTCCACCAACGATGGAATTGAACCAATCTTGGCACACAGAACTCCCATGACCAACAGGAAAGGGGAGTTGGTGGGCATTGAGCTTAGGTTTTGGAGTTGTAGTTCACCTACATCCAGAGAGCACTGTGGACTCAAATAATGATTTATCCGGACCAAACTTAGCATAGAATCAGAGAGTTGGAAGAGACCTTGTGGGCCATCCAGTCCAACCCCCTGCCAAGAAGCAGGAATATTTCATTCAATGTACCCCTGACAGATGGCCATCCAGCCTCTGTTTAAAAGCTTCCAAAGAAGGAGCCTCCACCACACTCCGGGGCAGAGAGTTCCACTGCTGAACGGCTCTCAGTCAGGAGTTGTAGTTCACCTACATCCAGAGAGCACTGTGGACTCAAACAATGATGTATCTGGACCAAACTTGGCACCAAAACTCAATATGCCAAAATGTAAACACTGGTGGAGTTTGAGGAAAATAGACCTTACCATTTGGGAGTTGTAGTTGCTGGGATTTATAGTTCACCTACAATCAAAGAGCATTCTGAACTCCACCAATAATTGAATTGAACCAAACTTGGCACACAGAACTCCCATGACCAACAGAAAATACTGGAAGGGTTTGGTGGGCATTGACCTTGGTTTTGGAGTTGTAGTTCACCTACATCCAGAGAGCACTGTGGACTCAAACAATGATGGATCAGGACCAAACTTGGCACGAATACTCAATATGCCCAAATGTGAACACTGGTGGAGTTTGGGGAAAATAGACCTTGACATTTGGGAGTTGTAGTTGCTGGGATTTATAGTTCACCTACAATCAAAGAGCATTCTGAACCCTACCAATGATAGAATTGGGCCAAACTTCCCACACAGAAACCCCAAAACCAACAGAAAATATTGTGTTTTCTGATGGTCTTTGGTGACCCCTCTGACACCCCCCTCCAGAGAAGGTTAAGTGATAATGGCAGAAGTGTTTGTAAACACTGGCCAAAGTGATGGAGAAACTGGAGAGATTGGGCAGCTAGTCAAACTGGGTCCATCCTAAGCCCCGAGGAACTGAGGCAGTCAATGTCTTGTGGTGTTTTTTAGTCCTGTGTTATTGTCAGCTCTGTGAAGGAGAGAGTCCAAACTATGTACTCGGAAACAAACCCCCTTGCATCCTGTGGGATTTATTTCTTGGAAATCTTTAAGATTTTAGCATGAGCCACAGATATTTCTTGGTATGTGTCTACAGTCTACCCTTCTTAGGAATGGCATGAAAAGAGATTAGTATAATTACTTGCTTAATTATGAATGTTATAATCTATTCGTGTCTTTTTAATTTCTGATGCTTCTCTATCGAACTGATAACCTGTAGTAATGGATAGTTGTGCATGAGCCATCCAGTATTAATCATTAAGCGTAGCAATCCTATATGTGGTTATCTGGCAAAAACTTTGTTGATCTCAATGGCTTTTATTTGAATGGGCACACAAATGTTTCCACTAAATTCCAGAGATGTTAGTTAGAGATTTAAACATTTGTTTCATCCTTATCCAATGACAGTAGGATTCAGAGTCATAGCCATATCGACAACACATTCTTTCTGTCAGTCTCAAAGGTGCCAGAAGATCCATTTGCATACTTATAATTGAGACTACAATTATAAGTATGCAAAGGGATCTTTTGGCACCTTTGAGACTGAGAGAAAGAATGTGTTGTCGAAAGCTTTCATGGCTGGAATCACTGGGTTGCTGTGAGTTTTGTGGGCTGCATGGCCATGTTCCAGAAGCATTATCTCCTGACATTTCTCCCACATCTATGGCAGGCATCCTCATAGGTTGTGAGATCAGGGAGCCCCCGGTGGCGCAGTGGATTAAACCCCTGTGCCGGCAGGACTGAAGACCGACAGGTCACAGGTTCAAATCCAGGGAGAGGCAGATGAGCTCCCTCTGTCAGCTCCAGCTTCTCATGTGGGGACATGAGAAAAGCCTTCCACAGGATGGTAAAACATCCAGGTGTCCCCTGGGTAATGTCCTTGCAGACGGCCAATTCTCTCACACCAGAAGCGACTTGCAGTTTCTCAAGTCGCTCCTGACACGGCAAAAAAAAAGTTGGAAACTAGGCAAATGAGGTTTGTATGGCTGTGGAATGTCCAGGAAGGGAGAAAGAACTCTCGACTGCTTGTGTGAATGTTGCAATTGGACACCTTGATCAGAGTGTACTGGCCTTGTAGCTTCAAAGTCTGGCTGGCTGCTGCCTGGGGGAATCTTTTGCTGGGAGGTGTTAGCTGGCACTGATTCTTGTCTGGAATTCAACCAACCTCAGCGCTTAAGCGACTGAGCAGAAAAGGAAGGAGCCTGACGTTGTTAGGAATTTTGGGAGTTGAAGTCCAAAACAACTTGAGGGATTAAGTTTGCCCATGCCTGGTCTAGACTGAAGGAAATCATAATTCCACTCTCTTCGCCTCTATGATGCACTTTCCCCCTGTCCTAAACTGAAAGCCTTGCCCCACTGTTCTTATCATTATTGGGCTCCCCTCACTTACATATTTTTATTCCTACCTCACCCAGGGTTTTTATTATTTTATCATTTTATCTTGTCCATTTGGCCTGCCCATCTTGTTTGGTTTTATTTTGTGTGAATTTGCTTTATTATTTTATTTTGCTACTGTCAGGCCCGTAGCCAGGATTTTGATTCCGGGGGGGGGGGGGGGGGGGGGGTGTGGGGGGGGGGGGGGGTGGGTCTGGGGGGGGGGGGGGCTGAGTCTGAGTGAAAGAGGGTCTACCCTAGCAAACCTTTTGTATCGTTACCCCAATACCCCCATGCATATGGGATATATTGAGTATGGTGATCACATCATGATATGAATAAACATAACAGTTTAAATAATGGCTACTGTAATTACCTCTGATGTAATTTTTGTTTCTGTATTCTGAGAGAATGCTTCTGGAACATGGCCAGACAACCTGGAAAACTCACAGCATTGGTAGCAGATGCTTTTGTAGACTTCAGTCTACTACATCTGATGCAGGATCATGCTACAAGGTCTTTTTGCATTTTATTCAAAAGAGTACACTTCAAGTGAATCATGCACATGGGACTAGATCTAGAATTTGCCTTCTGTTAGTGGAATTGCTTTGCTCACAAAAGGTGGTTTCCACTGATTGTGGGGATCCTTGCTTCCTCTGTGTATCACAATCTACTCCCTACAGTTGGGTCCCTTGATCATTGTATACATGTTTTTAGGATTTAAAGGAAAGGGGGGTCCTTTTTTGCCAACCCGCTTTGCATGTACCTATATCTATATCCAAGAGCCAGCATGGTATGATCGATTGAACATTGGACTATGACTCTAGAGACCAGAGTTCGATTCCCTGCTTGACCACGGAAACCCATTTTATGACTTTAAGTGAGTCACAAATCCAGAAAAATCCCTGGCTGTACATTCACAAGTTGGAAACATCTTGAAGGCAACAACAACAACAATTTAATTTAATTTATTTATTTACAGTATTTATATTCTGCCCTTCTCACCCCACAGGGGACTCAGGGAGGAGTACAATGCACATACACATGGCAAACATTCAATGCCGTTAGACATACAACATATATAGACAGACAATTTAACATTCCAGTTTTCCGGCTTCATGAGGGTATGCTCAATTCGGCCACAGGGGGAGCTGTTGCTGCATCTTCCACTTTTGACACCGAGTCCTTGATGGAGTACATCCTCATTCTTACCAACACTGCTGGAAGGTTTTATGGTGTTGTAAATTAGTTAAATTAGTCTCCCCACATATAGCAGTACCTAAATTTGCTACTTGACTGATGCAACTGTCTTTCGAGCTGCATAGGTCAACAGCAAAGTTGACTATCAATGGTTGGGAGCTCACTCCAACCCAGGCTCACTTCGAACTCATGACCTATCGGCTACTAACTAGCTGCACCACAGCCAGGATCCAAACTCCTCTGTATAATTCCTAAAGAGAGTGGCACACTGAAATAGCCTTCCCTTGACACTCTTGTCCCTCCTACTCAGCTGAATAAAATCCCACATATTTTGCATTG